AGACCGACTCAAAAACTGATTTATATAACAAGTTTTGTATTACTCAAGTAATAGTCAAAATTACAAACACATCTTTAAATCCGATTAATAAAATTACCGAAGCGAAATTACATATATTAAACTATTCAATATCGGATTTGAATTTGTTTCAAGAAATACAAAATAAAAAAATTTTCATTATACATTTTTTTATTAATTCAAATTTTAAATTCAAGTCAAATTATATATAGACAGATTTCTTGTTTAAATATTGACTAACTAACAAAACTCAAACACATCCCATAGCCTTCTTTGCATGCCAAATGTCTATCAGGTAAATAATTGATAAAAAAATTTATTGTAACAAATAAATAGAACCAAATAAATTCGCTTACAATAGTGTGTTCTTGACTTTATCAGCTACGTTAGGTCTGGCGCCTTTCTCTAATAATAATTTCACAAACATGGTATATCCGCAGACCGCATATCGATGGCTATATAGTAAATAAACGAGTTTTCATAAAAGTTTAGTTAAATGTTTAGTTAAATGAAAAAGATTAATTATTTGCTTAAACCCAAAAGAAAAAAAAGCGACTGCATTTATATAAAAAAAAAAAAAATCTGGATACTGTATGAAGAATCGGGTATTATGCTTGGAGGATATATTATATATTAAAAGTAGTTATGCTTCTATAAGAAACAGGTTGGTAGGAGGATACTTGTATGTGGCCAATAGTACTATTTGTTTAAATAAAGATTATAATAAAGCTTTTAAAATATTAGTTTAAGATTTGGGTATGAACAAACTCACATTATAATAGTTCAGGATTTGGAAGACAAGTATAATTATTACTACTCTTTCTAAGCGTAAATGTACATACTTTCTTCCGGGTTATACTTGAAATCTATAATTCTTTTTAATGTTGTTTAAAGTTCATAATCTCGAGCGGGCAAGCGAGTTAAAAAACTCAAAGCAAGAAGGATCTGTTGCATTGTAAGTACTATATAAAAGAGAACAAAAAGCTATTTATGAAGGCGTGATACTTCTCAGCTTTATTATTTTTTCCGGTTAAAACTATAAATCCACAAAGTATTTGTATAGCTAAGTCATTGTACCTAGTCATATGAGAGTGGTTTCCTTTTAAGAACCCCCTGAAAATGGCTTTTGAAAAAGGCCTTTCGTTGTGATTTACTATTAAAAATAGGCCTATCATATGGATGTCGATCACCCGAATTTCATATTAAAAATTTTGCACCCCTGATCTGCGTGACAAATCGTGCGACTGCTATGTTATTCATATGCATATACGTAATGCATTACTACACTCATATGATAATAGATAACGAACGATCTTTTTATTACCTTGGTAAATACACTCTTTTTTAATGGTTCAACAGTGGTTCTCGAATTCAACCAACAAATTTCATACAAATAAGCAGGCTATATCCACCGTAATTAAGCAAAAGTGAATATAATTCACACCCGCAATTTAAGCACTTGCCACACCCTGTACCTTTAAGCAAACGAGCTCTATCTTTAAGTAAGCGTTCTCTGTACCTTTAAACAAATGACCCCACACTTTTAAGCAAATGACCCACACCTTTATGCAAGCAACCACTATATATTTAAGCAAACAGCCCTCATATATTTAAACAAACAGCCCTAATATATTTAAACAAATGCCAAATTCACCTACAATCTACACTTTTAAGCAACGCCAAACTTATCCACATTTCACAATTTAAGCAAACGCAAAGCTATTCAATTAGGCCGTCCCAAAGCTTTTTTTTAACAGACTCCAGTATATACTATTAAGCTAAAACGACTAACCGGTATGTACTATTAAGTTAAAACAGTCTAGGTATATACTAATAAGCTAAAACAAACTAACCGATATATACTATTAAGCTAAATTAGGCTCAAATGCAAAAAAAGGATAAGTCTACTTACTCTGTTGCTTCTTTAGAAGAAGTATATAACCCTGCTGGCTCCCCGAAAGGAGAATATGAGCTTACATGTCTTGCTAGTTCTTCAAAGGAAGAACATATATTCACTTGCGTTGCTGGTAAGAACATGGCTTATTGTTAGTTTTTGAAGATCTACTATTTTATCAGCTCCTGTAATATGAACTTGTTTAAATGCTTTAGGTTGTCCTCTCTTGATGTGATTTGCTAGTAATCAAATGCTGCACAGTCATTCCAATTAATCAAACTTAGTTGAAGTGATCCTTATATCAATTTGGCCAGAAAATTCATTGTGCGAAGTATGGATTTTAAATTTCAGTCAATTAGAATAATTCTATGAAAAAAATTGTTATTATGATCAGGTTTTTTTGACCGAAATGATTAAATAAAATTTGTATCTGCATATATTAAAAACCATCAAATATTCAACCCATATGTTTTAAGTTCAATACCACTTAATATATAGTTCAAATAATTACTAAACTTTATAAATCCATACAAAAATTCATATAAAAGCTATGTAAATAACGATTTACTTATCGATATTTGACGATTTCAATTATAATTTGTCCGATCTTGAATTTTATTGGCTAAATAATAAGCGTATACAAATTAGCACGATAATTTTCATGATACAATATGTTAACGTTTCATTTTTAATTAATTTTATTTTGGGATACTGTAATTTGTGTTACGGTATTATAAACATGTTATCATGGTGTTACATGAAATCATAATAGTTTAACATTTTAGGGTATAAGAGATAATTTTACTGAGAAAGTACGTACGTACGTACGTACGTGTAATTGACGTATCAGTGGTGTAAGTTATATGATTTGATGTAAGTTTACTGACATTTTACCTATTAGATTTATGAAATGATCTGAAAGTTTAGCTATAGTGCTATAGTTCAATTTTGTTTGCATCCGACTTGGGGCGTTCTCAAGTGCCTTAATCAATGCTGCAATGGGACAAAGATGTCGGTGAATAAAATTTACTTAACAATAAATATTTTAAGGGATCAAATGTGTTTAACGAACATTTTTCGGCAGACCACCGTTTTTTATCCTTGGCTTGGCAAAATTTACAATGAATTGAGTTTTCAAAGAGATCACAAAAGTAACCTTATCAGTAACACTATCAGTAACCTTATCAGTAGCCTTATCATGCAACAATCGAATATTAACGAACTAACGACATATGATAAAATATTAATGAATCGCACAAGTATTAATTGCAAACTTTGATCACTTCATAATTTGCATACTCGATTCGTTATCAAAAATTTTATGCAAATATAATCACGAGCTAATAACACCCTTGATAAGTCGCAATTTCAATTTTACTTTTTTTTTGACATTACTTATTTAATTTCAAACTAAATTCATTAAAGGCCCATGTCGGTATTTAAATTATTTTGTAAAATAGCTAGATACCGATAATATTGCGTTCTTTGAGCTGAAAGGCAAGTTTCGAAAGGTTGCGCGACTAAAAGAACATAAATAATTACAAAATTATTATCATACATTCCTGGTTTTTAGTCGCACAGCTACCTTATGGTAAACGAAATATATGTACAGTACTGTGCTATCGTACCAAATACTCAAAACTGTAAACTGTACATACAAAAAGGGTAATGTATATGGTAAGATCGTACCAACCATTGTTTTGTACTATATGAAAAGATATATACTAGTATCCAAGTCTTTCTAAATGATATTTCTAACATGTTTCTTACTTCATTCCTAATTAACCATTTCATTTCTAATTAGTTCCTTCATTTCTAATTAGTTCCTTCATCTCTAATTCGCTCTTTCATCTCTAACTTGCATTTTCAAATTATGCTTTAAACACCTAAAAAAACATCAAGACTAATCCATTCATTTCGTAACTTTTAGATGCATACTAAACTATTTATCATTTTTGCTTTCTTTACATGCGTTATTTGTGGTAAAGTATTTTCGCATCATTATATCACTATAAAAGGCTACACCATAACTAAGTCTGTTCTTTTGGTTTACTATTTAGCTTTATCGCATGGAAGAAGAATAGAGAACAAATGTCCTGCCGACCAACAATTGTGTGGCAATACCTGTGTCGACATTAACACTGACTCAAAGCATTGCGGTTCTTGTAATAACTGCGTATTTATCTATTTTAATCTTTTTATTTTTGATTTAGTTTTTCTTTATCCTTTTGATTCTTTTCTAATTTTATTTTAAATAATTATATATGATTAGTGCAATAAGAATGAGTTCTGTCAAGACGGACAATGTATTAGCATTTGCCCTGCCGATAAAACACAGTGTGGCAGTGCTTGTGTGTGTATACCTATAATTTATTTTTATTTCTTATACCTTTTGATTCCTTGCTAATTTAACTTAAATATTATATGATTAGTGCAATGAAAATGAGTCCTGCCAAGACGGACAATGCATTACTGTTTGCCCTACTAATAAAGCACAGTGTGGTAGTAATTGCGTGAGTATATTTATAATCAGTGTTTATTATTCATTTTGATTACTTTCTAATTTCACTTTAAATAATCATATATGATAAGTGCAATGAAAATGAGTCTTGTCAAGACGGACAATGTATTAGCATTTGCCCTACTGATAAAACACAATGCGGCAGTAATTGCGTGAGTATATCTATAGTTTATATTTATTATTTATTTTGATTCCTTGCTAATTTAATTTCACCTTAAATAATCATATATGATAAGTGCAATGAGAATGAGTCCTGTCAAGACGGACAATGTATTAGCGATTGCTCTACCGATAAAACACGATGTGGCAGTAATTGTGTGAGTATATTTATAATCTGTGTTTATTATTCATTTTGATTCCTTGCTAATTTAACTTAAATATTATATGATTAGTGCAATGAAAATGAGTCCTGCCAAGACGGACAATGCATTACTGTTTGCCCTACTAATAAAGCACAGTGTGGTAGTAATTGCGTGAGTATATCTATAGTCTATATTTATTATTTATTTTGATTTCTTGCTAATTTAATTTTGCTTTAAATAATCATATATGATTAGTGCAATGAGAATGAGTCCTGTCAAGATGGACAATGCATCAGTGTTTGCCCTACTGATAAAAGACAATGCGGCAGTAATTGCGTGAGCACATTTATAATCTGTGTCTATTATTTATTTTGATTCCTTTCTAATTTCACTTTAAATAACCATATATGATAAGTGCAACGAGAATGAGTCTTGTCAAGATGGACAATGTATTAGCATTTGGCCTACTAATAAAACACAATGCGGCAGTAATTGCGTGAGTATATCTATGGCCTATATTTATTTCATATTCCTTTGATTCCTTGCTAATTTAATTTTGTTTTAAATAATCATACATGATTAGTGCAATGAGAATGAGTCCTGTCAAGACGGACAATGCATCAGTGTTTGCCCTACTGATAAAACACAATGCGGCAGTAATTGCGTGAGCACATTTATAATCTGTGTCTATTATTTATTTTGATTCCTTTACTAATTTCACCTAAATAATATATGATTAGTGCGATGAAAATGAGTCCTGCCAAGACGGACATTGCATTAGCATTTGCTCTACCGATAAAACACAGTGTGGCAGTAATTGCGTAAGTATATCTATATTTAATTTATATTCTTTAAAGATATTTTCTAACTTTTTATTATTAGTGCGATAGTGATTATACATGTTTAGACAATAATTGTTGTCCAAATAGCCAAGTGTGCGACAATAAATGTGTATGCATTTTTTTTTTTTTATGATATTACTTGCATTAGAATTCATTATTAACTTATTTCAATAATAATTTATAGTGTGATAGTGATTTTTCATGTATAATGGGTAATTGTTGTCCCAACAATAGAGCATGTGGTGATAACTGTGTATGCATCGTTTTATATCTTTTTAACAATATATGTATTTATTCCAAGCGATTTAGCCAGGGCGGCCCTCCCAAAGTACTGTCACATGATGAATCTTCGCAAATCATATATAAGCAATTTACGATTGTTGGAATATATAAGCAATTTACATTTGTTGGAATTTAGAAACATATAGCTGCAGCTGCGAAGTTCATCATGTGACAGTACTTTGGGGGGGCCGCCCTGGCTAAATCATTCCAAGCAATGCTGAATGAATTAGCCCAAAGTGTGAATCACATGATTCGAACCATTGTCATAGCCAAGTCTTGAGAAATTTTTGGCTAGATTATTCAAACATTTTCTGAGAAATTATGCAGTGTTTGTGGTGTCTTACTATGTGACCAGCACTTTTGGGCTTTTTGAGATCATTCTAATATCTATGTATTAATTTTCCCGCCATACAAAAATACTCAAACCATTTACATTATTTAATGTATCAAAAAAGAATTTAAAACAAAGGTCGTATGGCCGAGAAAATGAATAGGTATTTCAGCTGTCTCTAAGGCGAATTATATTTGTAATGTAGTACTGCTCAAAACTGCACCTTTAGCTCATGTTAGAAACAAAATACCAACTCATTTACTGGGTATTCAAAAATATTGTTCTTGATTCAAATTATTTTAATTGTTTTAATGTATCAAATAAGACACTTAAAACCACATGGTCAGTAAATCAGTCGGTGTTTTATTTCCTGGCACATGTTCATACATTATCAGTACTCAAAATGCAGCAATTAAATAACTACATATTTATTATTCTCCAATAACATTAGTATTTATTACTAACTTTCTTCTAATAATTGTGGCTGATTATGCCGGGATTTTGCTTAAACTGGGATATAAACTATTTTTTGATACAAAATTTTAAAATGTTTTGAGCCTTTTTTTTGACCTATTTTTTAGAGTTAGACTAGAACTTAGTATAGTTCTATTAAGAAAAGAGTATACCGTATTGTCGCGAAATAACGTGAAGGGTGAAATTATGAATTTTGGCCTAAATTAAGCTTAATTCGGATCATGATCCGAAATAACGCTCATGCCCATTATTTCACAACAATACGGTATGTGAATTTTTGTAGGTTTTATAGATTTAAATAGAGTATACCAAATTTCAGTATAAGCAAAATCCCAACATAATCTGCAACAATAATTATATTTTGCAGTGTCCTTTGAATCAAATCTGCGATAGCACTACCTATTCATGCACTTGTCCCTCTGGCGCAACACAGTGTGGCAATACTTGTGTATGTATTTATTTACCTCTTTGTCTATTATATATTTTGATCTTTTAACAAATAATTATATTTATAGTGTCAACGTGGCTATACATGTGTAAATAACATATGTTGCCGCACATCTCAAGCATGTGGGGACAAATGTGTATGTTTTATTTGCTTATCCTTTAGTATAATTGCATTTCTTACTAATAAATAATTATACTTTGCAGTGCCTTACAGGTCTAATCTGTGATAATTCTACTTATACATGCATTTGTTCCTCTGGTCAACCATTCTGTGGTAATGCTTGTGTATGTATTTATTTACTTTTTATCTGTTGTGTTATATATTTTTGATCTTTTTAACAAATAATTATATTTATATATAGTGTGATATTAACTTTAAATGCATAGATAATATATGTTGCTACAATACTCGAGCATGTGGTAACAAATGTGTATGTTTTTTTTAGCTTTATCATTTTTCTTACTGGATAATAATAATATTAGCATTTTTTTTAATTTCTTTTAATCATTATATTTTGTAGTGCCCTTCAAATCAAATATGTGATAATGCCACTTATACATGTACTTGTCCTTATGGCCATCCATTGTGTAGTGATACTTGTGTATGTATTTATTTATCTACTTCTTTATCTGTTGTATATCTTTTGATATTTTTAACAAATAATTATATTTATAGTTACAAAATGGTTATACATGTATAAATAACCAAACTTGTCCTAATACTCAAGCATGTGGTAGCAAATGTGTATGTTATTTGTCTATTATTAGCATTATTAAATTTATTCCTAATAAGTAATTATATTTTGCAGTGTTCTTGGGGTCTAATTTGTAACAACACAACTTATACATGCACTTGTCCCTCTGGTCAACCACTGTGTGACAATACTTGTGTATGTATTTATTTATTTATTTCTTTATCTTCTTTGTATCTTTTGATCTTTTTACAAATAATTATATTTATAGTGTTCAAATGGATATACATGTATAAATAACCAATGTTGCAACAACACTCTAATATGTGGTGACAAATGTGTATGTTTTTTTTTGATTATTCCTTTAGCATTATTACTTTTCTTATTAAATTCTTAAGATAATTATATTTTGCAGTGTCCTTATAATAAAGTTTGTGACAATATCACTTATACATGTACTTGTCCTTCTGGCCAACTACCATGTGGCAATACTTGTGTATGTATTAATTTATTTTTTTATTTGCTATATATCTTTTTAAAAAAATAATTATTAAATTTATAGTGTCAAGATGGTTATACATGTGTAAATAATACATGTTGCCCTAATGTTCAAGCATGTAATAACAAATGTGTATGTTTTGATTTATTCTTTTAGTATTATTACATTCTTTACTAATTTGTTTTAGATTATAATAAAATTAAATTTTTTATTAATTTTCTTTTAATAATTATATTTTGCAGTGTCTTTGGGATCAAATTTGTGACAACACTACTAATACATGCACTTGTCCCTTTGGCCAAACACTATGTGACAATAATTGTGTATGTATTTATTTACTTTTTTATCTTCTTTGTATCTTTAGATATTTTTGACAAATAATTATATTTATAGTGTTCAAATGGCTATACATGTATAAATAACATATGTTGCAACAATAATCGAGTGTGTGGTAACAAATGTGTATGTTTTTTTTCTTATTCTTTTAGCATTATTACTTTTCTTACTAAATTTTTTGAAAAATTATATTTTGCAGTGTACTTATAAGCAAGTCTGTGACAGTGTTACTAATATATGCACTTGTCCTTCTGGCCAACTACCATGTGGCAATACTTGTGTATTTATTTATTTATTTATTCTAGAGCTTCTATAAATCAGACCTGAACTGAACTTTAGTCAAGTTTAAGTTTGGTTTGATTTTTGAACTGGACTTAAGCATTTATATTTAAACTTTTTAGTCAAGTTAGAGTATGGTCCAGATTTGATTTAAAGTTTGCAAACTAGTTTAACTCTAAATATATTTATATATATTATTTGATGCTAAACAAGTTTATTTAGTATATAAAGCTAGTATTAATTAGTAAATTTTGAGAATTATAAGATTTTAAAATAAAATTTTACAAAATTTTATAATTCTCAAAATTTTACTAATTAATGCTAATATTTAAAATTTTAAAAAAAGATGTTTAATTTTAATTTTTGACATTTTTTCTTAAAATTTCAAACAACTCTACTAGCTTAATATATTTTTATAGGCTAAACAAGTTTATTTAATATATAAAGTTAGTATTAATTAGTAAAAGCTTGAAATAATAAGATTTTATTAATAAAATTCTATAAAATCTCATAATTTTACTAATTAATTCTAACTTTATACACTAAATATACTTCTTTAGCAAAATGAAATATATATAAATATATTCAAACTTAAACTAGTTAACAAATTTCAGTTTGAACTTAGACTATATTTAAATTAAACTAAGAAGCACTACTTTATCTATTATTTATCTTTTAATCCTTTATCAAATAATTATATTTACAGTGTCCAAATGATTATGTGTGTATAAATAATGAATGTTGTAATAACACTCAAGCATGTGGCAATAAATGTGTATGTATTTTTTGCTTATAATTTTACTTTATTATATGTTATATATCTTTTAATTTTTTTAAAAAATAATAAATTTATAGTGTTCAGATTTCTCTACATGTATAAATAATACATGTTGTACTAATAATCAAGTATGTGGTGACAAATGTGTAAGTTTTTTATTTGTATATACTCTTAGCATTATTATATTAGTCACTAACTTCTTTTGGATAATAATATTAGTATTTCTTATCAATTTTATATTAATTTTCTTTAAATAATTATATTTTGTAGTGCCCTGTGCGTCAAATCTGTGACAAAGCTACTTATACATGTACTTGTGCATCAGGTCAAACACAAATAAACAATACATGCTGTATAAATAATCAAGTGTGTGGTGATAAATGTGTATGTATTTTTTTAGTTATTTTTCTAATATTATTATATTTTAATTAATTTTTAAAAATTATATTGTATAGTGTCCTATTGGTCAAGTTTGTGACAGTACTACTAATACATGCATTTGTTCCTCATTTAGTCAAATATTATGTAACAGAACATGTGTGAGTATTTATTTACTTCTTTATTTATTATGTATTTTTTGACTTTTTTAACAAATAATTATAATTATAGTGTCAAAATGATTATACATGTATTAACAACAGTTGTTGCTCCAATAATCAAGCATGTGGTGATATATGTGTATGTTTTTTTGTTTATTCTTTTAGTATTATTATATTTGTTATTAATTTTCTTTAAATAATTATACTTTATAGTGCTCTTCTAATCAAATCTGTAATAAAACTACTTATACATGTACTTGTCCCTCCTATCTAACACCATGTGGCAATACTTGCGTGTGTATTTATTTTTTTTATTTTTGAAACAATTTTGATTATTTTTAACTTTATAAAAATATATTTGCAGTGTGGTCGTGAACAAATCTGCAATAATACTTCTAATAATTATTCTTGTACTTGTCCTTCTAATCTGTTTTCAATGAACAATGAATGTGTATGTATTAACTTTTTATCTTTATTAATATTTGTATATTTATTTTTAATATTTTCTGAATAATTATAATTGCAGGTAACCCAAAATTATTATTATGACACTTTTACTTTTGATTCTTAAACTTATAAATAATTGCAATATATCTATAATTATTATCTAAACTAAATATACTATATAAAAATAGTTTTACTATTTAGTTTTAAATTAATAATTAGATATAGTAAAGAAAATAATTTTTTTCAATTGATCAAAATATATTAGTGCAAAAAATCTAAATTAATATCTGAAAGTACTACATAATATATAAGCAGCCAGATCTAATAGTTTAGACTTATTCAAGATACCAAAATATTTTTAATTTATTTATAATACCAATACAAGGGTTTCTATTAAGTTTATATACATCAATATACATGTAATTGTCAAATAATTTGATGTATTTTCTCTATATATATCAATATATTAATATTAAATTTGAATAAAATTTTCTATGCCAACTTTTTAGTAATATAAATTTATTTCAATATTTGTTGAAATATTCATTTATTATTATTATTATTATTGGTATTAAGGTGCTTCTTGGCTGCCTGTTTTTATTGGATTAACTCACTTACTGTACAATTACTACTCTTTTTTGAAACAGTCTGTATAGTATACTTATTGGAGAATACATACTAGTCATATGTACAATTTTTAGGTCTATTTAAGTAATCTGCTTATTACTAGTAGCTATACCTATAACCTACCTAGGGGTTATCTATTTAAACCCTTTGCATATATGTAAAGCACTCTACAAAATAAACGAGAGGTACTATACCCCCTTATTTTTGCATACCCAGCTTAGGACTCTAAAGTAGACTCTTTCAGAAGTAGTATTCTCATTTGTCGGGTTACCCCTTCCACTTTTCTGGGTTCTTTATCCTCAAAGGCAAATCTGCTAGAGCCTTCCGTGTCTCACACATAGCTAATCTAGGCTACCTAGGCTTCAGTAACTTTCGCTAAGTTTGAGGACTTTAACTTGTAGTTAGTTTTCAATCTCTGCTACTGTTACCTAATACTTGAACTTATAGTTTCATCCAAGATCCCGGTCCCTACTTTACACTCCCATTTATTTTCCGATTTCAAAATTTTTGATATACAAATAAGATTTTTTAAGCTCATACTTATTTTCGAAATACGCTATTTTTTCTTAATTCTGAAACCCTCAATGCGTATAAGAAATTCAATATAAATAAGAAATCACTAAGAGGTCTTTATTCATAAAGGAAGAATCACTCAGAAACTTAAGATACTACAAAGGCGAATTCACTTATATATTTTTACTAACATAACAAAGGTTAGTCATTAAATATAAGACTTTAACGTCTAAGACTACATTTTTATTACATAGAACGAAATCATGAGGAATGAAATAAATAAAATAGAATAAAATGATAAATGTTAATTCGGTAAAAATTTATAAAAAAGATTAGTGCTATAAATAATGTATGTTTTTATACAATAAAAGTAATAAAATTAATTTGAATGAAAGTATTTACTCATATTACTTATTATTGCTAGAATCCACCTAATTTTAAAATAGGTTCTTAAACCTTCAGTATATTATGTAATGTTAGCTGCTACACTATTATCTTCAATGTTAAGTTCATTCAAATTTTCGGAAACCTAATTATTTTCTTTTAAATTGAAATCAAGTAGTCGACTAGTATAAATTGCTTGCGGATGCATTTGGCATGTTACTGATGTTATTGGTCTTTCTGCATCTTCTATCTGTTTATATTGACGACAAAATTCTTCATCCTGATCACTATACCATTTTCTAAAAAGCTCTAATAAATCAGAAGCTTTTGGACGGGCTAAATGATCATCATCCCAACACTTGACAATTAATTCCTTTAATAGCTGAGGTATATTGGTAATATCTAAATTAGGACGAAGTCCTTTACTACATATCTTTATAGCCAAGAATGTATCGTGAGGAACGTTGTAATAAGGTGGCGATCCAGAAAATACTTCGTACGCAACTATTCCAAATGAATAAATATCAGAAGCTTGTGTATATGGTTTTCCTCTTAAAACTTCAGGTGCAACGTAAGGCAGTACTCCATAGATTGATTCGTCATCATTTGCTTCATTAAGTGGTTTGCATAATCCTAAATCAGTAACATAACAACCAATGTATTGTGTTGTCTTGTTGGGTCTTATACATTCAAAACTCAATTCTTCACTATACCTATTTAGTATATTTCCCGGATGAAAATCTCTGTGAATAAGTCCATTAAAATGGATGTAGAATAGACCATTTGCCATTGTGTATAAAAGTCCAAGTTTGTCTCCAAAAGATAATCGACTATTATAATTGGTTAAATATTGTCTTAGATTACCTCCTTCAAAATAATGCATTATCATTATATAATTACCCGTTGCAGGATCTTGAGAAATTCCGTAACATTGACTAATAAAAATAACACGACTACTATGTTCAAATTTCCGATAATGAGTGATCTCTTGTAAGATATCAGCCGTCAAATTTTTAGAGTTATTTAAGCATTTTAAAACGACTTCTAAAGAATTCCATTTGGCCTTATACACCACACTAAATCCTCCCTGAGCAAGATATTCAATATTGGATAATTGTTCGTAAGGTATCCATTCTAAGCCATCATGTTCTTTAATAAATTTTTTTATTTCTAGGTTGCCACTCATCAACTCTTCAAATTCGACTGTCTCAGAACTATAATAAATTTCTGATAAATCTATATTGGGAGTACTATGATAATTTTCCATTGTTTTTTTTTAGAAATTTCTAATTTTAACTGATATTGTATATTTTGCCAAGAAAAACCACAGTTTGGAACATATCATCTAATTTTAAGTACGAAGTACGTACGTACGTACGTACGTGCGCACATAACAGATACAGTACGGTACGTAGGTGTGTGTAAAATATCGATATATAACAATCTAACGCATCGTGAAACGTTTCGCTAATCATAGATTTCCCCTTATGCACTCTATTTTTGGCAATAACCTTTGACGTTAATATACAGTTTACTTAAATTCTGAATATGGGCAAATCGTGGTTTTTTTTAATTCCATCATAACTTACACAGCCCGTGCATGATGCACAGTCTAAAATATCTACTTATATTTCCATTCATACAGGGAGTCCCAGATTTTTGGGCCAAAATAACTCTGAATCATGATCGGCAGGGCCGGAATTAACTAATTTTGCCCAAGATTCCTCAAAGTTTTACTAATGAAGTCAACCCAATCTGATAATTTTGGCCCAGAATTGGTTGACTTGCATTGCTAAATGCCGATGGATCCTCCTGTAAAAATTTAGGGTACCCCTTTCACAATGTACGTACAACAGTTCATTATTGATTAGGACTTAATCTTTAATTCGGCGAGACAAAACTACTTATTTATCAATTTTTTTCCTGTATGAAGTACATGTAAAATATGTGTAGGTATCATAAGTCGTTGTATTATTAGTAACATAGAAACATAAAGTATCATAATGCCTTAAAAGGTGATTGTTATCATTAAAGATAAGTACACTTGTACCATAGTAACATTGACGTAAAGTGCTCTAATGCTTAAAAGGTGGTTGTTGTAGTTAGAGTATAGTTAGATGTCTTAGTAAGATATCAGGTTTAGAGACATTAAGAATAAAAGTTCTAAAAACATATTACTAGCCAGATGAGTTTTTTTGTAGTAATATACGTTATTGTATCTATTGTCGCATCGGTTTTAGTAAATATATATTTTCCACTGCAAGGAATAGAGGGAGCATTTATTAAGGTTGTAATCAGAATTTTGTTAGTATTTGCGGCCTTCGCTGGTCCGCTTTTAGCTGCATTTATTTTGTTCGGTTGTTTGTACCTTTTAATGCTGGGATGTTGGGGGTGTTTATACGTTTTTGGAGCAGTAAATGTTGCTGAAAATCAATTAGAAAATGGAACAGTGAATGCTGCCGAAAATCAATTAGAAAAATTAGAAGAAGGCGCTATTCCCCAAGAACAGGTCGATAATTCTTCATCTCAATTTGGTGAAATTGAAGTCGCTCTTCCACAAATCACTGAATCATTTGAAGAACTTATGAAAAAATCGATTAAAGAGTTGAAAATTATTTTGGAAGATCGCAGGATATCTACTATTGAATGTGTCGAAAAAGAAGACCTTGTAAAGTAAGTTTCGCTTTGTTGTAGGATTATAATAAATATATATCTATTATTTATTTATAAATTTCTTAATAGATTGATTATTGAAAGATTTTCTAACGTAATATATTATAAGTAAAAGAAGATTGAACAACGTGAACTACAAAATAGTTCATTAATGAATCTTCCTCTCTCTTTTATATGCTAACAAAAAATGGTCATTGTTAATATTACAAAAAAAAAACACTAATATGAGCAAAATTATTCTAATCATAATAATAAATAATGATATTTCAGAAATTTCTTAACAGTATAGGCGTAGTAAAATATGTATAAAACAGTAATAATAGCAATTAACCATGTAACAAAAAAACTTGTATGCATGTGCGTATGTTGTGAAAGGCAAATCTGCCTTCAATACAAGAACGCAATACAACAACACTATACTAATACAAACTAAATAACTCTAACTAAACCCTAATAATTGTAAGTCTTGATTGAGGCGTGGAAAGACTTGGTCCGAGTAACTAGGGTCAATTAGAGCTCTAGACTACATCATGAGTCTCTTAATACAAAGTTACGGATCTGGTCATTAATTTCTATCGTTAATACAGATTTTACTTATCGGGGGGAGCTCTAACTGAGCTGTTCATTATGGCGCATTTGCGAAATTAATCGGGCAACAGGGGTCACCAAATCCAATTATTTTGTCCCCAAAATTAAATTAGTTACCAGATTATATATTAATCAATCAATGTTAAGCCCTGAAAAAAATTTTGAACCCCTGATCTGTACAGATAATGCGTCTAACCAATCTTTCCTACGGGCTAATCATTTTCCCACTCATTAGACATAGGAATTGATTAGGGTAATTATTTTTGAACCCGGACCAATTTTATATATGACGTAATAACATTTTAGTCTGAATTCAAAGATAATTACCCATTATCTCAGTTAAAATCTATATTTACACATTATTAGTCAAAATTTTCAAATTTTTGAGGTAGTTCGCAAATGCGCCGTAATGTAGCTAAGCTATCTTCAGCTGTCCTTTATTAAAGACGAAAAAGGTAGTGCTTTTATACTTTCGCACTATTAGTTGTACACAATAAATATATTCACTAAATGCGATAAATATAATAAATACGATGAATGCCATAAATTCAATAAATGCGACAAATTCCATAAGTCCCATAAGTGCAATAAGTTCGATAAGTTGATACTAACTAATTTTGGCTAGATCCGACCTGAGCACCTCAGCGTCGATTTACCCATTCATACAACTAGTCCTGCACGGCATCAAGCTACTCATGATTGTGTATGTATTTACTAGGGTTGCAGGTGAATTAAAATTCCAATGGTGCACCACTGTTCACCAATCACCAATCACCAAACAGCATTGGTGATACTGGTGATACTGGTGGTGCTGGTGATACTGGTGGTGCTGGTGATACTGGTGATGCTGGTGATACTGGTGATGCTGGTGATACTGGTGTTGTACTAGTGATCATGGTAGCGCTGATATAAACTGATTGGCTATTGACAAAAGATAAATTTTAAAGCACTATGTGGCATTCTCATTTATTTGCTGATACATATTCGCTTGCACTATACAACACAATAAGTGACATTAACTAGTTGTAAGTAACTGATTATTGGAACTAAATTAAAATAAGCACTATTGACTCGATTGGCTTCTTTAAATAGACCCATTAGTAAAAAAAAATCTTAGGATTCATTGAATAAATAAATTAGAAAATAGATAAGCCTGAATAATTTTAGTTATACTACTTACCAACTAAATCATTACATAGAGCTCTTACCCAGGTCAGAAAACACCGACCCGGGCAGGTCAGGTATTAACCCGGGATAACTCGGGTCAACGGGTCTTGCAGAAATTCATGAAGTTTTGAAAGTTAATCCTTAAAAGTCGATATAACGACTCTTAATTAGAACGATTAGCATAAAGAGCAGCCTGTACACCAAATATTTAAACTGGATCTTTTCTGATTTTGTATCGAAAACTTTCTCGACCTTGAGTTCACTTCCATGTCCTGAAGCATCTGACAAAAATTAGCAGAATGATTTTCGACTAATTCGGTTAAGTTTGTCATTTCGGCATATAGATTCAATAAGGGGTTTCAGAATTAACGTGCGAGAATCTAATTTTGACAATAATAGATAAGGCCACACAAAGTTTTCAATAATAAAATTTATTTTAAAACAAAGATAGCAATATTTCTTTTAATCGGTTTAATGAATTTAATTCAATACTTATTTAATCTAAATATAAAGACATACAAGAATTACTCGATTCTAATTCATAAAAATAGAGCAATATCGGGATGGTACCAATTATAAAATCTGTTTGGGTGAATCTAATTTAGTATCGTGTGTAAAATTTGTAATTTATTTAACGCATTATTATCTGATGAAGCTGAATTTTGAACTTATTTGTTTAAAGTTAGGAGTTAGGGTTAGAGTTCATAATAAAAGAGATAAGGGTATATGTGGATTTTAGTAAGGTCTATCAGACACCAAATTTCAGCATCGCCCATCTCAGTATCATCGTCATTTATTATCATATTACAGCATTAACAGTTAAATAATGCCTTCATATTGTTAACCATTTTAAACAGAAAAGTTCTAATTTCTTATGACGTTAACACTAAAATCATAAAGTTCATATTAAAATCTGATGGTGCAACTTTAGTGTAGTCGCGTTTACGTGAAGATTGCACTAGGCCATCAATAAAATAAATAATAATCCTAATACTCCAGTTGTCGCAAAGAAAGTCCGGAAAATAATATGCAACAATTTTTTTCAGTATTTAAGAATGACTAAATTAATCTTCAATTTGGTTTAAATGAATGCTATAAAAATAGCAAAATTATTGAAATATTATCACACGGTGGACGATCGTTCGCAGAGAATGTATGGTGTGAACAATTACGTATTTCCGGGTCTTTTGTTGACCATTTTCTGTCACACCGTTCTAATAAATCAATAATTAAAATAAATTAACAAATTAAAACATGTTTCTATGTAGATTGTTTGATCAACAACAATGAGCTATATATGATCATCTCTTCTAATTGGCAACATTAGACCTAAAGGTTTACAAATTAGTGTGGACACCAAGTACAAATAATTTTTTAAAGTTACATACAATTAGGTCTACGAGAAATATGTAAATGTCTAGGAATTCTTTTTCTAGTTTCATATTAATAGCAATCACTGACATAAAGATAAATCATTCTAGTGTTATATCAATTGAAGTTTGTATTATTTCGGGAAGGAATGCAGGTTTTGAAAGACTATTATTAATACTCACTAATTTTCAATTTTAAAATAATATCAGTTATGTATAAAAGTTCCTTTTTATTACATATTACGTATTACATAAACTGCAAATCAACACAGAAATGACAAATATTACATTTATATTACTCAAACATAAGTTCTTACGACGTACACTTTGACAATTAATAAAATAAAGGAAAAAATACATGATAATAAATATTTTTTATTATATTTTTTAATATCGAATTTTAATCTAATATTCTTTTTAAAATTCATTATACATATTTGCGAATATTTTTTTATAATTGTAACCCTTAAATTTGCGATTCATTATATTAAGCTTCAACTGTACTCATATTATATAAAATTCTTTAATGCAATTGTACTATTTTTTATTTGTTATTTGAGAATTACATATTAAGATATGTAATATACATACTTCATTTAATAATTTTTTTCAAAATAAAGTTAATAATATATATCATATATAGCATATACGTACAATTTTATATTCATACTCTAAAATATAGTAGTAAAGTGAATTTTAATAAGATAAAATCTATATATCATAAAAACTGTCCAATAAAATATATATCTAACTAATAAAAAAATTACATAGTAATAATGAATTATAAATTTTAAATATCTAATTCATTATTTTCTACTTCTATTATTTGTTGTGCTAAATCAATAGGATCGTATTCTCTATTTTCTGAATTATAACCCCTCTCATATGAAGATAATCTATTAATAGCTGATTCAAATAAAATGTTATTGGTAGATAAAAACTCAGGTAATGATAAATCAATGATTCGATTAATATTTAAATTGTTAGTTAATATCTGTTGTATATCATCATTACTTTCTTCTGCAATTTCTAAATTATCGGGTTGTTGGATATTTACAAAATTATTTAAGTTTTCTTTTAACTCTTTTTCACTTATATCTTTACCATAAAGTCGCAATTCATTAGCTGTATTAGAAATATAAAAAGATCTAATTTTTGCTAGAGATTCAATTCGTGATAAATGTAATTGTGTACGCCTTTCTCCAAAAAGCCATTTAAGTGTAGAAAAATTCCTTTCACAAACAGCTTGTGATGGAACAATTGAAAACAAAAAGATTGCTAGTTCTTGCAGTTGATCATATATTAATACTTAACCACCATTTCATTGGTGTTTCTTCTTGTTGATTATAGCTTAGATTATATGGAGCTTCATTTCGTTTCCATGCTCTCATTTCTGATAAAAGACTTAAACACGATGATTCAGGATACTTAAAATTGTACCAAATAACTGATGCTGTTTTATATATTTGATTTAAAGCTTCTTGCTTTAATCCATGACCTATAAAATAAATATTATAAAATAAACATAAATAAATAAATAAATAAATAAGTAAGTAAATAAATAAATAAGTAAGTAAATAAATAAATAAATAAATAAATAAATAAATAAATAAATAAATAAATAAATAAATAAATAAATATAATTATTATAAAATAATATTATCACGATATAATGGGTGAAGCCAATAGGCTAATATATAGTTTCATTAATAAATTCATCAAAACGGCTATTAAATTTATTAATTATTAAAGTTTTTCACTGATTTGATGAATCAATTCTGTTAATACCCGTAGCAAGTCTTATTAAACCAATAAAACATTCTGCTAAATTTGTATTTGGTGCTTCAAGAATATTAGTTAATTCTTTTATTGGCTTGAGAATAAATGCAATTTGGCAGCATTTAGAATAAAATTCCTCATTTTGTAGTAAATCAAACACATTAGTATTTAAAATAACTTCAGGATAATTTTCTAAAATCTATAAAGTTGTATTAATAAATATTTTAATTTAAAAATATTAGATAATATATTTGCACTTATTTGAAATAATGTATATTTCTTAAAATATTATTTAAATAGATATATATTGTTAAAATATAATATGATATATATATTTATTATTATACTTACCCAATCAAATACAGGTTTTGACTGAATTATAGAATCTGTAGTAGTATATAATGAGCCCTATCGAGTTTTTGTATAGGATTGAATTTCACCTCCTTTAATTTTCATAACTATCATTTGCTCTTTATAATGGCTATTAGCAATATGTGATCTATTAAAAAATTCTAAAATGCTATTACAATTAGTAATAACGACTTTAACAGAATCAATTTTTGCTAAATCTGATGCAATCAGATTAATGGCATGTGATGCACATCTTAAATTTAGAATAAAAGGATACTCTTTATGTATAATTTGACGTGCTACTCTTAAGTTAGATCCATGGTCTGTTACAATTGCTGCAAAATTTATAATACTAATATTTTGTAATACTTTTTGAATTTCATTAGCCATAAATTCTCCAGTTTGACTTTCAGTATATGATTTAAGCTTTATTAAGTATTTCTTTCGTTTTGGAGTTGTAATAATATACAGTCTTCCTCCTCTATAATCACGCAGTTTGTATCAAGAAAATTGGTGATTATAAAAGAGTGTGATTATATAGAAGTTTTTTTTATAAGTTTTTTAATAAATTGTCTCAAAAGTTAATGTGATTATATGGGAGTTGTGATTATATAGGAGGTGATTATAGAGGAGGAAGACTGTAATTGTAGATTGAATCACCTCGTGGAGAAGTCCATCCATCAAGACCTAAATAAATTAAATAATTATTAATTATAATTTAATTACAGTAAAACCTCTATAAGCACACATGCTTTAAATCAAACTTTAACAATATGCACTTAGAGAATTATAGAAAAAATTGCATTTATAAAGATTATTTATATAGTTAGATCAAAATTTGAATATATATTTAAAAAGTATATGTGCAGTTATAGAAAAACATTTATAAAAGTTTTATTATATTTGTTTTTTAAAATTTAAACTTACTAAGTGTAAGGTTATGTTCATTCAATAGTTCATGTTTAATTTTTCTATCAATTCTAGCTGTTTCTTGTTCTGAAAGTCTACTAGAAAGAATAGTACATGATGGTAAGGTATAACCTGGAATGGCAAGCTTAAAAAGGTCGATAATAAATGGATTCTCTATTGTTTGAAAAGAAAATCCACAGCAAACCCATGCTTTAAGAATTGCTTAATCAAGTTCTTTGGCTTTAGCATCAGAAATAGGTGTAATAGGCTAATAGTGTGTAGTAATATTTGATTGGATTATATTTTTTGATCGACTTATTGGTTTTGAAACACTATCTGCTAAATTTTCTCGCCATTTTATTTTTATATCTTCAGGTACATTATTACAAATTCTAGCCAAATGAACTTTCATTTCTTGTGGACGTCCTCTAGACCAATTTACAGAACACCATTTACAGTTTGCCTTATAAAATCCTCGTCCTAAGCTGTTACCTTTAATAACATCATTCCATACTTCATCTTTTTTACCTCCAGTAAATTTTCTTTTTTTTTGATTAGTTGTTGAAGATTCTGGGTTATCAGAAGCATATTCATCAGAAGTATCTGAAATATATTGTGCTTCGCTATTAAAATTCTGCATTGGATCACTCATAGTTTCAATATAAATTTAAGTGTTAAAGGTAATAATTTTAATCTTTTAATCGAAATATTTTTTTACAACATGCATATATATATAAAATATTACTTAAAATATTGTATTAAAATGATTATATTATTTTAACACTAAGCTTGTTAAAATTAAAATAATCATTAAATGCATTACAACTTAAATAAATTGCATAAAAAACTTCAAACAATAACTGTAGCATAGTAAATAGCCACTATTTACTATATGTCATTGTAATCTAAAACTTGTTTAGAAATACTATTCATATTTATGCAAAAAAATAAGTTAAAGTCGTTAAAGTGTATACTACTCTAAAAAAGAGAACAATATTAAAAACAATAGTAATAATTCTAAAGTTCAAAAATAATATTATACAAGTATTTTTTTATTGCTTATATCATGCATTGTTACAGTTTATTAAATTTTTATATATGTAATTAAATTACCCAGAGAAAACTCTGAATTTTCGATACACTAAAGCTACAGCATCTAGTGACTTGAGTTTATATTGTTCTCAAGGGTTATTTAATTAGTAAAGATTATGAATATTAAATACAGAAGCAGCAATATGCTCAAACTTTGGGGTTTTCTCTGGGTAATTTGTAATTAAGACTCATAATATATTACTTTTGAATTAGCGTAATAAATAAACCCTGCATATTACATTGTTTTTATAATGATAATATGCAGGGTTTATAAGATTTTCAAAATACACTAATCCAAAAACAGTTAAATAGAACAGAAGGAACTATTGATATTACTTAACTAATTCCAAACCAGGTATGCATTACATAAGGCCACGCAAAATAAATTTTTCGTTTAACATTACATAAAATCTGAAAATTGGGTTGGTCGGTCAGATTGTTTATTTTTTTTTTTTATAATTTTTTTTTTTAATTTTTGAACGTCACCAAAGGAAAACCAGACCTTAGGCTTATGATTTTATTTGTTCAGTGAAAACCAGATAAAAAAGATGAAAAAATAAAAAGCAAAAATAGAATAATTAGCATAATTAAAACTCTAAAAAAAAAAAATAGGGATTTTGAAAAATTTGGGTTGGTGGGTAATGCTAAACGAAAAATTAACTTTGCATGGTCTAAAAATTATTTTACAATATCGGATCATTCTGCTAGCCCACACTATGATTATAATTTAAATACCTGATATTATTTGAATGCCAAACTAAAATCTAGAACTAAACTTATTATAATCAGTTACTGGATTTATTTTGGCGAAGGGCTTAATATGCTATATTGACCTATCAAAAACAGTAAATATATATAACATATTAATACAACAATAGCATTAAATAGCTAACAGAATATTATTGTTCTTTGATCGCAATAATCATGTGTTAAAAATGAACCTTGAATAGCTAAAAAAAATAATACAGTTCTTTAAGTCCTAATTTAGCAACAATTGTTTATAAATTCTCATGGTATTATTTCAATCATGATGAATTTTTACAATTGACACATAATAATCATGAATTCTGTTTATAATTGTTATATGTATTTGAGTTTCTTTTATTGAAGTCAATCATGAAAGTTCTTTGTTTACAATTATTATATATGTATATTGATTTTATTAGTTAATTGCATAATCTATTGGGTGATTGCCCACTTTCCTGAAGTCTATTTATCTGAAATACCATTTCGCCGAAGTCGTAATACTAACAATCCATTTTACTAACAAACAGAAATAGATCTGTTATTTTACCAAATATCAATTAACCGACAAGTTTATTTTACTGACAGTTTATTTCACCGACAGACAAAGTAATTCTAGTTATTGTCATTAAAGTCAGGTTTAGAATTAGAGTTAAGGTTAGTGCAATTTTCAAAAAACCTGTCAGTAAAATGAGCTGTCAGCAAAATAATTGTTACTGAAATAAACTTATCAGGTAATTGATTTTCTGTGAAATGATACCAACCTATTTTTTTTTGTCTTGCTAGTAAAATGGATTTTTAGTATTCCGACTTTGGAACCAGATCGTTGGGTGCTTTGAAGCAAAATATTCGGTTCTTCACCTTAGTAGTTATCCATTGTCTGATCGCTGTTTGTAATGTGTATGACAATTGTCTTTTGTCTTTACAGCATGATAATTTATAAAACACTCATGAGTGATTATGATATGCATCACTAATAATAGTTAAACAATGGATATCTACTTAGAGAAAGAACTGAATGCTTTGCTTGAAAACACTTGAAAATTAAATAAAAAACATAAGAATTATTGTAGAGTGCATATTATAAAAATCTGATTGTAATAAGTTAAAGATCATTAATTCGTATGTACTGGATACACATAATAATTATTGATAGCTATTCAAGATATAGAATGTAAAGATTTTTATTGTTACTGTATGGCACTAGCTACAGTACCCGGGATACTATTCAAAAAGCTATCACATTTTTTTAATAATATCCACCCAGGTGCTATTTACGGGAAAGGGTGTTACGGCTGGGGAGATACTCTATATCGGGTTTACTAATTTCTCCCCCACTTCCTATTGGACGAAGAAAAATCCTGCCTTTCGATCAAATAATAGAAGTATCGTTGAAGCAGTATAAAGGTCTAATAAAACATATTATATACTAGAATTTTGCAAGGAATTTTTTTTGTTTGAACACGAAAGGCGGTTTTGTAATAAAAATTTTAAGTTACTGCCGATTTTTGAAAAACTTAGATTTTTTTTTTAAAATTTTATGTTACACCTGATCTTAAATTTGATTGGTAGACGAAGTGTGGCGTAGTCTACTTTGTCCAATCAGAGATATCATTTACAAATATCCAATCAGAACTGGGGGGAGAAATTAGGGATCCCCTCTATATCAACACAGCCAATTTAACTTAGGATCGTAAGCATTATTAAAATAGAGAAACCAAATATTTATTATTTATGCATAAGATACTGAAAGTAACGAATATCTCTAACCAACTAACTAACCTACTAATTTCCCCACTCACTAAAACTAAAAAGACCCAAAAAGACTAACCAACCAGTGTTCTATAACTCTCTATTTATAATGTCTATTAGACTCTTATTAGCTATTATACAAAATATAAAGTATAAGCTAATTCTATAAAATGTCGTAATGATCGACAAAGTATATAATAGTAATTACTTCGATCATTACTTAATTATAGTATAATTGTTAACTTGATTATACTATTTTTTATAAAAAAAGCCATTCTTTATATGACTTCAATATAAATTTAATATATCTAGAATTACATCCGGTCTTTTTTAATTTTCTGACTCGTACCTTTATAAATTGTCTTTTTTTTTACAGGATATTATAGCAGAGGTACTGTATTAGTGTTATTAGTGATGTGCCGCATACAGTACTGTACATACTATACGTATGTACGTTCTGTACGCGAGACTTTTTGCCAATCATTTATATGTAGTCTGTTTTATATTAATTAATTAGGTAGCTGCGTGACGTAGTCGTGCTAAAACCAGGAACAGGAATCTTTATTTGGGATTAGCAAATATGTTTAATTACAATATATACAGTATAAAGAAAATAATAAAAAGAAAATTTTCAGTCATTGCTTTAAAAATTTAGTATAATTATAGTATAAATCAATTTC